TTGGAAGTCACCCATCTGGGCAGAAGCAGCCTGGGGCAAAATGCCCCTGCTACTAGCTTAGGCCATTATTCCCTTAAATTTGAGCTCACCTTCCAGCTGTCAATTACACACGTACAAGGAGCAACTAGATTATCCTAAAACCTCATTTTAATCTGTCGTTTCCACTTCATTCCTGGAATCTTTTAGCAGAGCTCCTAACAAGTAATTATAAAACTTAATGACACTCAATTCTATCTTAATTTCTGTTCTTTAGCACTCTCTGCTACAGGCATTGACCAATATAAAATGAGAAGCATGAAGAAAACTTTTATGTGTCAGACAGGTCATTTTAATCCCTGGAAATCGAGTTTACTTCCTACCTAAGCTTCCATCTGCTTGACACCAATCTGATCAGGTCTGTGTGCTAAAAATAGGAAAGTCTTGATAGAAGACACAGCACTAGCCGGGCTCGGTGGCTCAGCCTGTAATCCCAGCACTTTGGGAGGCTGAAGTGAGTGGATTGCCTGAGCCCGCGGGTTCGAGACCCGCCTGGACAACTTGGCGAGACCTCATCTCTATAATAAATTAAAAATTAGCCAGGCGTGGTAGCACACGCCTATAGCTCCAGCTACTTGGAAGGCTGAGGCGGAAGGATCGCCCGAGCCTAGCAGGTCGAGGCTGCAGTGGCCGGGAGCGGCCAATGCACTCCAGTCTGGGTGACAGAGTGAGACTCCAACTCAAAAAAAAAAAAAAGACACAGCACTACTTGAGATCTTGCCTAATGAATAAAGCTGAAGTCTGATCCCACTACCAACGTGTAGGAAGTGAACAGGACAAAAAAACCATTTTGAACTTGCACCAAGAGCGTGCAATCAGCAAATTTCAGACAATGGGAAAGTCAACAAGTCAAAAGGCCTAAGTTCTTCGACAGATAAAGTGCAAGGGAAAGAAAAGTTTTAAGAAAAAGGGCTGAGCATGGTGGCTCACACATGTAATCTCAGCACTTTGGGAAGCTGAGGCAGGAGGACTGCTTGAGGCCAGGAGTTAGAGACTAGCATGGGCAACTGAGTGAGACCCTTTCTCTACAAAAAAATTTTTGAAAAAAGAAAAAAAGAGAGAGAGGAGATGAAGAGAGAAGCTGCAGATTAAGATATATAAAAGTATATCAGTAAAACCACACAATGAAATACTATTCAAAAGGAAGTATTATGAATCCATGCAATGCATATTGCTAAATGAAAGATGCCAGGCTGAAAAGGCTACAGACTACATGAGTCCAATTATATTCTGGAATTATATTCTGGAAAAAACCACAAAGATGGAAAACAGACAAGCTTCTGCCAGAGAGTGGAGACAGCTGAGCAGGTAAAGCACAGGGGATTTTTTTTTTTTTAGGACAGTGACACTGTTCATTACAGTACTGTATTGGTGAGTGCATCTGTCAAAAACCACTGAACTTAACACAGGGAGCTAGCTCAACTTCATGTATACAAAATCTTAAATATGTGATGAATCTGTAGTTTCAGCTACTTGGAAGGCTGAGGCAGAAGGATCATAGGAGCCCAGCAGGTCAGCGCTAGGGTGGTAGTGAGTGTGTCACTGCACTCTAGCCTGGGCAATGGAGTGAGACTCTGACTCAAAAAAATACATAAATAACTGATGAGGTAGACAGAGACTGCCAAGAAGGAATGAGGCTGTGGCAGAAGAATCTCACTGTATTACACATATAGGACACAACCTCACTGAAAAGGGTGGGGGAGAGGTACTTGAGTAACTTAGAAATGAGAAGACAGTGTAGGCCTCAAGGCAAAAAGAAATCTAAGCATTGTAGTTCAGGTGGTCAAGTTGTTAATCAAGGAGTACAAGGTAATAATTCTGAAACCTCCAGACATGTATACTAAAACCAAACAGATAGTAAACCATTTTGAACTTGCACCATGAGTGTGCAATCAGCAAAATTCAGACACCGGGAAAGTCAACAAGTCAAAAGGCCTAAGTTCTTCGACAGAAGTGGAAGGGGGGAAAAAAAAGCAGAGAAAAGAAAAATGAGGTCAGAACCTGGCCAAGCCTGTAAAGACTAATTTAGTCACTGGTGGAGCCTGCAACACACACAGATTTCACAGCTATCAGTCCACCATCTGCCAGACCATGCGTCCTGTAACTCAGGGGTCTTCCACCCCCAGTAAGCCTGTTAGTTGGAATCAGGCCGCACAGCAGAAGGTGAGCAGTGGGCCAGCAGAAAGCTTCATCTGTATTTACAGCCCATCGCTGTCATTACTGCCTGAGCTATGCCTTCTGTCACATCAGCAGCGGTATTAGATCCTCATAAGAGAGGGAACACTATTGTGAACCGCACAAGGGATCTAGGTTGCATGTTCCTTACCAGAATCTAATGTCTGATGATCTGAGGTGAAGCTGAGGCGGTGATGCTAGTGCTGGGGAATGGCTGCAAATACAGATTAACATTAGTAGTGAGGTGTGACAGCACATCCTTCCAGTCTGTGGAAAAATTGTCTTCCACAAAACCAGTACCTGATACCAAAAGGGTTGGAGACCACTGCTGTAACTCATTCCAGGTACAGTATTCTAAGTCAGTAATAGCAGAACTGATATTCCCCCCAAATGATTTCTGTTTAAAAGATCAAAGACATGAGATTCAGTCATAGCTGGAGAGAAGGATCCTACAGTCAATCTCTTTCTAAAACACATGGCAAAGTACCACTCAAGATAAACAATACAATACCACTTTTCAGCTGAAATGATCTCCCTTTCCACACAACCAAAGGCCTGACAGGGCACCATCTCTAAAACACTGATGCAGGAGCTACTCTCTTCCTAGGAGGTGTCCACAGGCAGATAATGCCGTTTCACTCCATCCATCCTGGTCAACAGAGTGAGAAATCGACACAAAAAAATCTTGCCTAAGATTATTCCTTCTTTAAACTGATTACCAAGCTTAAGTTTAAGGCAGATATTTATAATCTTGCTATTTGACACCTACTTTTTTTTTTCTTATTTCTCAAGGTTAAAGTATTTCTATAAATTATTTCTCAAACTAACCCTTCCTTAAATGGGCCACTAGAGAGTGCTAGAAATGCAGTTAACACAAGAAATGAAGTGATACAAGAAATTACTCCCCAAAATCAGAGTAGAAAAAGAAAAAACGGCTGGGCTCGGTGGCTCAGCCTGTAATCTCACGCTTTGGAAGGCTGAGGTGAGTGGACTGCCTGAGCCCGCGGGTTTGAGACCCGCCTGGGAAACTTGGTGAGACCTCATCTCTACAATAAACCAAAAAATTAGCCGGGTGTGGTAGCTCACACTTGTAGTTCCAGCTACTTGGAAGGCTGAGGCGAAGGATCGCCAGAGCCCAGCAGGTCCAGGCTGCGGTGGCCGGGAGCGGCCACTGCACTCCAGTCTGGGTGACAGAGTGAGACTCTAACTCAAAAAAAAAAGAAGAAGAAGAAAGACATAAAGGGCTCATTGCAGGTATACTGCCAACAGGCACTGCAATAGCTGATGGACCTAAATTTTGAAATATTCATCATTAATATAGATGTGGTACAACAGTTTTCAAACAAAGCAACTGACATTTGATATTAAAAGACTGATCTGAACTACCTATAGTTTACAAAATGCCAATTTCTTCATTTAGAAAATAAGGCAAAGTTAATGATGTTTAAACCTGGATTCCTTCACCTTTGTTAATACCAGAGAGGGGAAGGAAAAATCGAGAAGCAATGGAAGGGGAAGGAATGAGAAAGGAGGGAGGGGAGAAGGGAAGAAGGGAGAAGACAAGAACAGGGGCTTCCCTACTTAATTCCAACGTAGGAATGAATTTTACATACATCACGTCTCAACCCACCACAGAGCAACAACAAGATTATCACCTGTAGAACATAGGCTTCAACCAGGCAACTTTTTAAAAGGTACACAATTCCACCAGCAAGAATGTCATTCTGACCCTAATGAAAATCTGTTTAATCTGATTTTAGTTCACTTTAAAGGTAACGCTTTCCAACAACATTACAGATTTGAAAAAAATAAAAAATTTAACGCTTAACATTCCCTACAATCTCAGCGGATGTGTTAGTCTTCCCATTAAAAAAATGCTATTCAGGGTGGAAATAGCCCTAAGAACTCCCAATCTAGGATCGTAATCTGCAAAACTGTAATTTGTAAAAACAGTTTATTTCTAAAAAAAGAGGAAAGAATAACGTCGTTATGTTGACTTCCAAATCATAAATAAGCCTAATTGCATGGACAAACGGGTATGACTGGGCTACAGGTGGGAACGAGTTCCCGTTGAAGCCTCTCATCGCAGAAGAAATGAGCCCCACCCTCCCACCAGCCGGACCTTCGCTTCGAAATCCACGCTCAGTAACCACAACACCAGTCGGCGCGGTCGCGGTTCCCGGTCGCAGCGGGACTCGCGACCCCCCGACGCCCGCCCTCCGCACGTCTGAAAGGGGGCGAAGAGTCGGCCCTCGGCCCACAGCGGTCCCCGCCAGCCCCGCGGGGCGCGGTGGCACCCGAACGCCCCCAGTTCTGGGGGTCCGCCCCGGCCTGCAAGCACAGATGCGCAAGCCGACGGCGGGGGCCGACCGGGGCAGACCACCCCCGAGGCCCGGGCGGTTTTCCTCCCTCATTTTTTCTCGGCGCCCCCATCCCGCCCCCGAATCCTCTGGACCCTCGCGCCGGAACGCCGGAGACCTTTCCCCGCAGTCCCAGGCTCCCGCGCAGCCGGGCCGGAGAAAACCGCCCCCGCCCACGTAGGCGCTCGCCCCACAACCCCCCGTCTCCGCTCCAAGCCCACCCCTGCGCCTGGGCCTGGAGGGAAGGGGGGAGGGGAGGGGAAGGAAGAACGGCCCCTTCCCTCCCTCGGCCCGCACGCACGGCCGAGGGGGGAGCAGCTGAAGGTTCCCAAGCCTCCCCGCCCCCACGGAGTCCGGAAGCCCCCGACCACCCGCAGGCCGCGCGGCGCTGCAAAAGGAGGGGTACCCTCGGGCTTGCGGGGCTCGCACCTTGCGCTTGCGGGCC